TCCCCTAGAAGCCCTCCAAACGCCCCCCCCCCCCCCCCCCCCCCCTCGTCTGCCTGGCCGGCGAAAAACAGGCGGTGAAGGAGGCGTCGTACGTGAACGTCCCCGTGATCGCCTTCTGCGACAGCGACTCCCCCCTCCAGAACGTGGACGTGGCCATCCCCTCCAACAACAAGGGGAAGCTGTCCATTGGTCTCCTGTACTGGCTGCTGGCCAGGGAGGTGCTCCGCATGCGCGGCACCATCGACCGCACGGTGAGGAGACGGGGAGAGGGATCGCACCCCGACCGAGCTGTAGTTGCGATATCGACACAAGATGCTTGTGCGGTGATATGTGGTTCAGTTTGTGTTGATCCCGCCATGAGGACAACCGACCGAATGACTGCATTTTTTTCTTTGTTTTTTTCGGTCGTGAAACTGAACGAAAAACTCGTGTTGGCGTGTCTGTCGCGTGGACACGCGGACGGTGTGTGGGTACGGCATGTGTGTCGGTACTTTGGGTTGTGTCGTGGGCGTCCGGAATCATTTGCCCCGAGCTTGCGTTTTCTATTCGTGCTCCATTTATTTTAAGAGTGCAGTCACAGGGCCCTCCTCCTCCCAGCTTTGTTCTGGTTTCGCGAGTTCCTTGATTGCACGCGTTTTCGAGTGACCGCTGACGAGACTTGCGCCAACCTAGCGGGCTAGGTTTGCTGCTGCAGTACCGACGAGCACGCACGGATAAACACATTGTTTGACCGAACGCATGTCACGCGCCGATCCGCGCGAGCCCAATCCCACGTCAACCCTTACGGACGATCCCCACTACGCCCCACCGATGAAACCACCCAGCTAACCAACCCACGCGCTCTCAACTCAGCGCACCCCCTATTATAGTGTACCACTTCGTTTATTTTGCCAACGACAACAACCGGTCGCCCCGGTAGCCTTGTTGGTATGCTCAAAAACCTTCCATCTAGTGGCCAGGGTCAGGAGTTGGAATCGCCGCCATAAGCTAGCTTTTCTTGTGAAGTGAGTTTACCTCTCGCTTCCGTTCATGGCGTGGGTGGAAAGCGCGACATATTTCTCGTGAGAGGGAGAGTGCTGCACTCATATAGCATTAATAATCGAAGGCAAATCACCGCACGAGGGGCGGGTAGGGGACCTCAGGGAGGGGAACCCTTCTGGGTAACCACGGGTTGGAGCAAAACGACACAAGTGCCGTAAGCACTGATTTGAAGTGACGACAAGCCAGCAACAAAACCTTTTCAAACTGAATCTTGGACGCACCTCCATTCCTTTTTTTTTTTGTTATCTGCAACAGGTCGCCTGGGACGTTCCCGTGGACCTCTTCTTCTACCGCGAGCCGGAAGAGCTCGAGAAGGCGGAGGAGGCGCAGGCCCCCTTCCCGGAGCCCGCCGCGGCCGCCGCCAGCGGCTGGGGCGCCGACCCCATGGCCGGCGGCGCCGCCCCCACCCCGATGGAAGGCTTTGCCGCCGTCGACCCCGCCGCCGCGGCCCCGGTGCCCGTCGAGTACCAGGCGCCCCCGCAGGCGGCCGCCATGGGCGGCAGCTGGGACGCCGCCCCGGCCACGGGCGCCGAGCAAGGCATGCCCGTGGAGCAGGTGCAGCCCGTGGCGGAGGCCCTGCCCGTCGACGCGGGCGTGCCCCCGGCCGCCGGCGGCGGGTGGGACGCGCAGCAGCCACAGGCCCCGGTGTCGCAGCAGCAGGCGCCGCAGCAGGCGCAGGGCGGAGGGTGGGGCGGAGCCCCCGCCCAGGCCGGCGGGGGGTGGTAGAAAAGCGCTTCTCAGGGCCGCCGCTTGAGACTCTCGGCGAGCGAGAGCTGAGCGGTTTGCCGTACCGCCGAGGTGCGTCTCGCTGGTTCTTGTCGAACACGGCGGTGTTGGCTTGTCGCTTCAACGATGAGCTCCAAACGATTGAGGGCGGGGGACGGAGGGGGCTGGTAGATGAGGCTCTCTTTCGCGTTCGCTGCGGTGTCGAGCAGGTGACTGCCGGCGCAGCTGGTGTTACCTGTTGGCCTGATCCCCTTACTGGGGTCGGTCGTTTATGCCCGTGGTGTTGAGTTGAGCTGCTTCGTGATGCTGGGCGGTAGGGGCGTGGGTGGGTAGAGAGAGAGAGGTCGTTGGAGGTCGGGTTATGTGATGCTTTAAGCTTGGGTTTGGTCACCCAGGTGTCGGATGCGCATCACGTGGTGCCGCCTCATCATGATAAAGCACTAAATCGCAAAAAAAAAAAAAATCCCTCGAGGTGCCGATTAGGGCTCTGTTGACCTCGTCCATGGCTCGTGTACAGCAGTATGTATGGTCTTCGTTCTCGAAGGCATGACCGAACATGGGTTTATCGCTCCCGCCTACATCTTTTACCGCCCTCTGCTGGTGTGTACCTCGACAGCGGTGCGACATAGGGGAACCGGAAACAATGGCGTTCTGTTAAAGATCTGAGCGGGGGATCATGCCGTACAAGTATCGACGGACAGCTAGTTGTGCCGATCCGTTAGTAAGATCACCCGATTCAAGCACGGGTTCAAAACTGGCCCACCGTCCGCCGTCCGCCGGGACGTGGAGTAAGCACCGCAGCAACTGCCGCGCTGGTGTGGCTTCAATGGTGTTCATGTTTATTCCGCCCTGCCTCGTGGGCGGTACACTGAACTTACTGTACCGCCTTCTCCAAGCAAACTCGTACCGCCGACAAAAGGAAATGCCGCCTATCTAACCGCCAAACGATTACCGGCAGCGGAGGGGGTTGCGGCACCGCTGACAAATTCCTCCGTGTTTTTTGTTTCGCCTCGCACGGTTAAACAGTCGATTCCGCCGAAAAACACAGTATAGCCCCTACGGTCAAAACTGTTACCGCCGCATATCGCACTAACGCGCCGGAAAACCACCCCCGTCTTTGTGTTTGCTCTGCCTCCGCCAAAGTCGATACGCCAATACATGCATGACCTCCTACCGCCAAAATGATCACAGCCATATATATGGCTTTATCGGCGAAAATGCTTCTCCAAGAAAAAATCACCGATTGTGACCCCTTCGTATTTTTCATGCAGAGAAAATCGGATCGATTGAATCCCACTCAAACACATTCTTTCTTGTGCGCCTCAATTTTTTTGTCCGTGGTTGATGATGAGCGTTCGACCAAAGGGGACATAAACTTACCTCGAGCAACCTCGAGTAATACGCGTTTCACCTTGCAGCTGAATGCTTCATACAGAACGGGCCCGCAATGAAGAAAATTTCTGTCGAGAAATGTTTACGAGAAAAAAGAAAAATAGGCTAAGAAACACAGCCCAATCTCGGCCACAATATAAGAAACGCCTCAATAAGAAACATGATCGTGCGATACCCTCAAGACAAAACAATGGGGTAGCTGGAGGAGCGTGTCAAATAAAAAATGTTCCACTGCTGCTGCTGCTACCATGCTCCCACCCCCTATCGATAGCTCATGACATATCTAATTGTTTGGAAGGGGGGACGACAGTGGTAATTTTCCCGGCGTCCCCCGCGCCCCAGCGCCGCCGTGGGCTGCGCTACCCACTGCTGCTGTACTGCTGTACTGCCACAACCCCCAACGTTGGCCACACCAAGCCGTCGGTTGAATGCCCATGAAGGCTTGGTGGGTTGTTGTTGTTTTCCTCGCCAGAAACGAGAAAAAAGTAGATTCAGCAACATGCGACAGCCTCAAGAAGTAAGAAATCCGTTGGGCGACTTCGTCTGGTCTTTTTGCCCAAAATAGGAAATTGGGGCTCGACCCGAATTTGACGTTTCTTATCTCCGGTCCCGTTCTGTATTATTTCCGTCTATGGAGGGAAGTTGGCCGCGCTCACGAACTGCGATGATAGGGCGTTGTTTGACACGCATGAAGGCATACCGCTCAGGGAACAGGGGGCCTTTTGGAGTTCCAGTTGAAAAAATAAAATAAAACAGTTTGCATACGGTACGAACTTTTTCTTGAGTTTGATGCCATGTTTGTGATGTGTTTTCATGTTTTTGGTTTGTTTGAGGCTATGCCCAATGCGCGTCTCTAGACTTGTCCAAGATAGATTACATCCAAGGAGCCCACGTTACATACCCCGCATACACCGAATAACTGGAGGGCAAAATCCTACCTTTCCCGGCCCTATATCTTGGCAACGATGTTGTAAAACAAGCCAATCAATTCACTCCGTGAATGCGGAAACCACGTTATTACCGTTTTTTTTTTTACCTGTTATTTTTTTTGCCGCAACCATAATGAATGGTGGTGTGAGGGGTCGAGAACCCTCAGTCCGCGCAAGGGGGATGATCGCATCACGTTGTGTTCAATTGATCAAGCATCGAGGCAGTTACACAGTGCCCACAACTGTCTGCAAGTGAAAGCACCAGAAAGTAAATTTAGTGTCATCCTTACGCAAGGAAGTAAGCACAAGATGCCGAGCACCCTTCGCAGGATGCAGCGCACCCTTCGTGCGACTCGCCGAATACCTCACGGTGCTTCGCGCTTGGTGATGGAGAGCCTGGTCAGGTGAGAACCCGGCGTGCTCCGTCCCTGCTTTGTAGCGATGCGAGGTAAATGGTCTAACGAACGACTACGGCGTGCACGACTGTGGTACCCCCCCCCCCCCCCCCCC